GGTCACTTTCATGATTGGCTTGGAATGGAATAATCTCAAATTAGCACATCTAAGAACTCCAGAGGATGGCTGGAATCATTTGAGATTAAATTCCCTTGGGATTAGAAGGTGGGAATGGAGGTAGGGGAAGGAATTTCTATTTTGTTTTATTAACTACAATTTACACACACACACACACACACACACACACACACACAAATTACTCACTTAAAATAGATTTTACATAAACGTAGTTTAAAATTAGGCAATACAACTGATTACAGCAACAAAAATATGTTTCCTCTTCACCTTGTCTGCCTTTTCTCCCATTCCCAATTTCATTTATATATATATATATATATATATATATATATATATATATATATATATATATACACACATTGTAGCAAACTAGTCAAAGCTTTATGTGTCTTGCTTTTTTAAACAATAATATATGTTGGACATCTTTCTGTATCAATACAAATAGAATCTTATTTATTTAGCAGCCACATAGGATTTTGATATATGATAGTGCCTTAATTTATTTAACAATCATCCTACTGATAGATATTGAGATTGTGTCCAAAATTTTGCTACTATAAATAATTCTGCATGAATATCCTTGTGTGTATATGTGTGTTTGTACAAATATGTGCATTTATCAAGTGTGTAAATTTGTACAAGCACAGTTTCTGCACAGAAGATATATACATTAAAATTTTTGAAAGATACTAACAAATAGGCCCTGGAGCTTTGCTCTTGACACCCCACCATATCCCTTCCTCAGTCATTCATGGCTTCCTAGGGCAAGCACCTGGCCCTTTTCTCCTGCGGGATTTCCCTGGCTCTAAGAGCATGCTTTGTTCATTCACAGGGTAGGCGGGAAATGGGGAGTGAACACATCCGAGTACAGTCCTCAGTCAATGACAAATAAGAGTTGATTTAAAAATGTCCCACTTTCTTCATCTCTCAGCAGGGGACAACTCTGACCAACAACAGTGGAATTCCACATCAATGGAATTGAGCCTCAGCTGTCCCCAGTGGCAACCATCTCATTAATGTACCCTTTTATTGGCTTCCTTTCCTTCCTTCCCTCACTTCCACATCCCTTACCAATGCCCCTGGGATCACCTCCCAAATGAACTAGTTGCCCTCAAATCTTTGTCTCAGGGTTGACTTATAAGGAAGCGCAATTAAAAGGTACCCTCTATCACAGTTGTAATTTTTTGCTCTTCCATCAGCAATGTCTGTTCCCCATCCCAAACTCATGGTCAATTTTATTGTCTATTTATTCATTTATTCATTTGTTCGTTCATTCACTAGATACTTGTTGAGAATTTTCTCTGTGTCAGACTACTTGCTGGCCCCTGGATACAATACTGAGCACAGGAGATCAGACAAACTAGCTCCATTACCTGCAATCCTCCTCCTTTAAGTTGATACCTACACTTCTAAAAAAAGCTAAATCCAATATTATTCCACAGTTGGAACAAAGCAGTGAAAATGCATAGCCTTGACTAAAGCAACACATGAGTGGGAGATTACAATAATCTAATCGGCAGCAACTACACTGGTTATCAAACCCCTCCCAGGTTTGCTAAGGGATGGGGTTGAAGAGATCAGAGATGTCAGACCTTTGAAGTAGGTCAGGGGGACCCAGGACAGGAGATATTCTTCAGAGATTTGACATGTTGATCTAGACTAAGGTCTGGTTCAGGACAAAAAGAAACTGTACTCAGCAATATTGTCATAAGACTACAAATGGTCTACTTTCATGATTTATGGACATGTTTTTTGTTTTTCAGACTGCCTGTTTTCATAGTAAAGAGCTTTATTCCCGGAGCACTAATTAATGGAGGTATTATTGTTTTTAAAAGAACAAGAAGGAAATTCACTCCTATCCTGGATAAATTCCACAGTCTGCCTTCTCTGCTGCTCAACCAGGACTGCCAAGCTTTGCTGGGAAGAAGTCCCTCCATTTTATAATCACGAACTCCAACCACAGCAGGGCTCTTGATGTTTTGTATAAAACTTGTGATTGTCACGGTCAACTTTCTCCCATTCTTCTCAGCAGCTTTTTCAAACTTTCTTCTTTCTCTTTAAATGCCTTGTTCTTTTACTTTTTCCCTTGCTATGAGCACATGAACCTCTTTAAATATGCCTAAATCTCTCCTATCTTTAAATTAAAAAGCTTTCCCTGTCATTCTCTATAACTGGCTCCCTCATTCATTTCTTTTGATAATTTAGCTCCTTGATAGAAGCATCTATTTGCACTGCCTCCACTTCTTCTCCCAATCATTCATACTTTCCTGCATCTTCTTCTGCTCACCACAACACAAATACTGTTTTCCTTTCCCACATTTTCAAATTAAAAAAAAAACATTTTAAAATCTCACCTTATTCAAAATCTCTATAGCGGTTATTCTTAGAGGTGGTCCCTAAATCAGTGAAAGAAAGAAAGAAAGAAAGAAAGAGAAAGAAAGAAAGAAAGAAAGAAAGAAAGAAAGAAAGAAAAGAAAAGAAAGAAAGAAAGAAGAAGAAGAAGAGAGAGAGAGAGAGAGAGAGAGAGAGGAGAGAGAGAGAGAGAAGAAAGAAAGAAAGAAAGAAAGAAAAAGAAAGAAAGAAAGAAAGAAAGAAAGAAAGAAAGAAAGAAAAGAAAGAAAGAAAGAAAGGGAGGAGGGAGGGAGGGAGGGAGGGAGGGAGGGAGGGAGGGAAACGGACAGAAAGGAAGAAAAAAGCATCACTGGGGGTCCTGTGAAAGACTGAAATTCATGGGCCCCACATGACTTTTTACTGAATTAGAACCTGTGGGATGGGGCCCAGCAATCTGTGGTTCAGCAAGTCCTCTAGGTCACTTTGATGATACTCTGAGTTTGAGTTCAATACTCCTAACCTCTCCTCTTCCTCTTTGAAATTCTTTATATATTTTCTGTGAACTAGATATTGCTGGTTCTTCTTTTACATTTTAAGCTGTTTGGTTATGTGTTGTTGTGTTTTTTTTTGTTTTGTTTTATGTTTTCAGTTTTCTTCTTTCATTCAGCCCTAAATCTGGTTATTCCTGGTGCTCTATTTTCACATTTTCTCTTCCATGTGATGTCATCTATTTGCAGCACTTCAGTTACAACCTGTATTAGTCACAATTCTTGCTTATAAATGGTAGAAAATGCAATTCAACTTAAGCAACAATGAGCAAAGTTAAAAGATGGAATTTATTGGCTCGTGTAACATGTTTTCTTGATCCAGGATCTTAAATAATGGCATCAGGATTTGACCTCATTCTCTTTCTCTCTCAGCTCAGTTTCCATCTGAATTGGTTTTGTTTCTAGTCTAGATTCCCCTTTGTGGCCCCTTGAAGTTCCAAAAGAACATGCTCATAGTTCTAGGGCCATGTTGGTTTATGTGCCCATCCTAAACCAATCATTGATGACTTTCTTATGCCTGAGCAAATCACCATCCCTGGAGGTAAGAATGAAGTCAACCTTAACCAAACTGACACTCACTGATTTAACACACATTGAGCACCTACTATGTGCTAAGTACTGTTCTTCATTCTATGAATACAACAGTGAACAACAAAGTCAAAGTCCCTAGGCTCATGGAGCTTATATTCCAGGCTATAAACAAATAAACAAATAATCAGATAAGAATAAGCATAGGAAGATAAAGGCATGAAGAGTGATGAGATTGCTGGGGGGAATAAGAGTAATTTCCCAGAGAATACCAAGATATTATTAAAAGAAGGATTAATGAATTCTAGGTGGGTAAATACAATAGATATAATTCCCAGGTCTACATCCTTAACAATTATATCCAATTGCCTATTAACCCTGTCACTTAATAGAGAAATTTAAATGTCCCAAATTGAAATTAGCATATTCCCTACTTTTCACTTTCTACTCAATTTTCTTTGAATTGATTTTTTCTTTTAAATAATTTTTTTAATTAATAGAGGTATCTTCTCTCCATCCCTTTATATTGGAGATAACAAATAACAAGGGGTAGTAGAATGGAAGCCATGAAAATTGAAATGGAGCGGAGCTACAAAGACTATTTTTGAGAAGTCTGAAGTAGAAAGGTGTTGAAGGATGTTCAGGGTGAAAAGAAAGGACCTTCCTAAGAAGTCCCCTCCAAATCTTCCATTGAAGTACTCTATGTAATATCTCAAATTTAGAATGATTTCATTTGTCTATCGTCTCTAGCTTCCACCTGATGGTTCATGATATGAGCAACGCTTATTATCTAATTGCCCAGTCCTGATTTCACTCACCAAATCATGCCAATTCTGCCTCCAAAATGTTTCTGGAGAGTATTCTCTGACTTACATTCCTGTGACCACTTCTCTAGTCCATGGCCCATCATGTCTTTTCCGAATCTCTCATCTGAATCCTACCCAGTCTTCTTGCTTGTCATCTTGTTTCCTCTCTCAATTTTCTACATATTATTTCTGGAAAGGTCTTGGATTTCCAGGCAGTGTTGAAAGTTGACTTGATGTTTGTGGTAAAAAAAAAATCTAGTGTGAGGCTTTCAGCCTGATTACCTGTTTTCTTCAGTCACCCTCAGCTGTTCGGATGCAGTCATGGAGATGACAGCGATTCAGATTTGGGGTTTTGCCTGACAAGTATGATGGGAGGAGGGATGGACAAGGTATACATACACAAGTGGATGGGTTAAAGTGAAGGGTCATTGAATCTAAGTTGGGTAAAAAAGGAAGCAAGAGCATGAGGAGATATGGTAGGAAAATATTGTAGAATCAAAAGATTAGAGATCCCAATAGGGACAAAAAATGGTTAGAGGAAGAGTACAAAAAGAAGTGAGCTGGACAGAGAGAAGATGGTATGCAGGGCATGGATAATTGAAGTGAAGATTTTGGAGGTAGTTTCCACTCTTTATCCCATTTATATAGTGTATTCTGAAATCAATGAAAAATGAGTTGAATTTGATTTATAGCAGAAGCACACTTCAGTGTTGGCATTTTTATGTGATAGGATTTGGTGACCTAAGTAAGGATTAAAAGCCACTGATGCCCAAACAGGGATTTAAACACTAGACTCTCAGATTAAAAGTCTAATAGTCTACCAACCAAGCTATGCTGGATGTAATTTATCTAACAATGTCTAGAATGTAAGTATGGGAGGTGGTAGCTGAGGTAAAGTGGAGGAAGAGATAACTGAATGCTAGCAAATTAAGGAGTTCAGAATACAGGTCATTAGATGGACTGATTTTATCGATGCTGAAGTCCTCAAGAATGGTGACAAGAACAATAATGGAAATAAAGGCAAGATCCAGATAACAAATCTTCAACAAAAGAAGGGGAATGACCTGGAAGACAATGGGTAACAGCAAGAAGGTGAGAGAGATGGTAGCATATTCTGATAGCTTGCAGTCTAAAGGAGCTGGAAGTGGAGTAGCTTAGGGAAGAAATAGCAAAGATCAGAAAGTAATATTAAGCAATAAGGAGGACACCATCATCTCTAGACCCTGTTGTAAATGAAATATAAGAAGAAAACAATCCCAATGGAAGGCTGGAGAAAATCACTGTCCTCGAAAAGCAGATGGATTTCAGCTAGAGCAAAAAGGGGAAACAAAAGATGAAGAAATGGAGGATTTTTCTGAAGACATGTCCTGATTTCCAGAGAGCACATTAGAAGAATGTGGTGGAAGGACATAGATTAAGTCAGATTAAGGGGTGCACAAGCAGTGTAGAATCCCATGATGAGATGTGGCCTACAATGTAAAGAGAGATCAAAAGCATGATGGGGTTAGTCCATGTGGTCTTTTAGAAGAAAGTTAGCAATCAGCTCTGACTGTAGCCTCCTTTCTCAGATGAAGTAGTTTTCAGTGATGGGGTGGGAAGTGTGGAAGGCAATATGGTCTTGCTAAAAAGCATAAGCTCTGTTAGCCTTGTATGGAACCCCAAAGCAATTCTAATTAAGCTCTGGATAAACAGTCATCTTTCTAGGGATTGTTCATATTTTTAAAGGAGGCTGTTTTCCTTAAGTAGTTGGAGGGAAGAGACTTTGAGTCTCGCTGCTTGCTTTCTCTGACCCACCTTCCTGCTCCCCACTTCACCTCAACTAATTGTCTAGAGAGTTAATGTGGAGGAACAAAGATTGCAGTTGCAACTTTTCCTCATCAAATCATCAAAATCAGATAAATACTAATATTTGATGTCTTTTTAAATTACAGCTAGTAGCTATGGCAGGAAGATCAATGTGATTATGATTTGAATAAAATTTCAGAATCTGAAATTTGGGGGGGGGGAGTTATTTTTTTTTAGATTTGGTGCCCACAGTAGATTAATAACAGGGATGATAAATTTTACTGTAAGTGATACTTTCTAAGGGATCTGCAGTCATTCATGTTAGCTGGCTTATTTCTTAAGGCTTAGATAAATTTGGGAATACCCAGATCAGTTTGAAACAGGTCACCTTGACCTTGACGCAGTTTTCCAACCAAAGAGAGGCCATCAGGAAACTCTGTATGTTGATAACACAAAGTAGTTTTCAAATTGAAGAACTTTATAGGTTAGTGATTTATGATAAATATATACAAACATCTTTATACTAATAACATCTGCTCTATTAGCACCTTTTGTGTGCTCAATCTCTGACGTAGGTATTGATATCCCAATTTCATAAGTAAGTAGTTTCTCAGAGAATGAATAACTTGTCCAAGGTCATTCAAGCAGTCAGTGATATTGCTGGGATTAAAATCTTAGTCTGTCTCAATTTGGTGTTGTAGCTAGGAAAGTTCAGAGAGAATGGATAACTTGCCTAAGGCCATAAAAGTTTTCAGAGATACTTCTGGGATTTAAACCCAGGTCTTGCCTCAACTTCTGCAACTCTTATTCTGGGAGGCTGTTATTTTCTCTTTCCAACATGATGCTTCTATTCCCTTACCTGGACGATCTTTAAGCTTGGCTCACCCACCCCAAAATCTGTTTCTAAACTTCCTTTTTTTAAAAGTGTTGTCTCTCTTTTCAAAAGCACACAAATCTGGAAGAAATGTTTTTTCCACACAGGTACCCACCAATGTGTTCAAGAAGCCACTCTATTTATCATTTTTCTCTTATACAAAATATCACATTTGTGAACATACCCAATCTAATAAAGATGTAATATGCAAATTGACCATCACGCTAACACACAAGATGGCTGCCCTGATGTGGTCAAAGATGGCTGCCACAAGGTAGCTGGCAGGGGAGGGCAGTTGGGGGCTATCAGGCCTGCAGAAGAGGGCAGTTAAGGGTGACCGGGCTGGCAGGGAAGGGCAGTTAGGGGTGACCAGGCCTGCAGGGGAGGGCAGTTGCGGGGGATGAGGCCTGCAGGGGAGGGCGGTTGTGGGGGACAAGGCCTGCAGGGGAGGGAAGTTGGGAGGACCAGGCCGGCAAGGGAGGGCAGTTGGGGGCAACCAGGCCAGCAGGGGAGGACAGTTAGGGGTGACTAGGCTGGCAGGGAAGGGCAGTTAGGGGTGACCAGGCCTGCAGGGGAGGGCAGTTGAGGGGGATGAGGCCTGCAGGGGAGGGCAGTTGGGGGGGACAAGGCCTGCAGGGGAGGGCAGTTAGGAGTGACCAGGCCAGCAGGGAAAGGCAGTTTAGGGGCAATCAGGCCAGCAGAGGAACAGTTAGGTGTCAATCAGGCTGGCAGGGAAGTGGTTAGTGGGTGATCAGGCTGGCAGGCAGAAGCAGTTAGGGGCAATCAGGCATGCAAGCAGGCGAGCATTTGGGAGCCAGCATTCCTGGATTGTGAGAGGGATGTCCCAGATTGAAGAGGGTGCAGGCTAGGCCAAGGAACACACCCCCACGGTGCACGAATTTCGTGCACCAGGCCTCTAGTGTAACAAAAAATGCATTTCTTCCTTCTTGTTTCTTGCCTCATCCCTCATCAGTTCTTCCTTTCTCCATTTCAATGAGGTATCAAATGGGATGGCTTCTAAGGTCCCTTCTGATCTGAAAATTCCATGCTTCTACCAATGCTGTATTTCTGATTCTTGTCTTGAAACATGGTATATCAAGTACTGGTAGCAGTTATATGTTTTTGTTGCCCCTCCATGCTTACCCTCAGCAAAAATATACATAGTAACTCTTTTAAATGTTGGATTTGCAATTCTGTAGTTTCTTCTATGATGTCAAGTAATAAAGTTTGATCATGAAGGGAGAAGACGGTCATGATTTTCGTATTTGCCATCCAGATCCCTAGTACTCAGCAGTAAGATGAAAAGATGACATTGATTGGCTTCTGAAGATAGGTATGTATTTATCAAGTTGTTCATGTTCTTCATCTAGATGTCTATAGATTGACTATTTTAGAAACTGTCTTGGCAATTTACCAGTTGAGTTTTGTCTACTTCACTTGCTGACTTACCATGATTTTTCTCCAGTCAGTATCTACCTACATCTAACATAATTTTGGTATGGTTCTATGAGATAGGATTAAATTATTCCTTGCCAATAGACCAAAATTATTATAGTTATAATTCAACTACACAAGTAGCAGCACCTTATTTGCCAATGATTTGTGTCCCAAAGAATCTACTCCAAGAAATCAGAGTTGCACAAAGAAATTAAGGCCTGGGGATATTAATGCACTTGCTAGACTATTGGCTATGAAGTCACACTACAGTACACGAGTCCTTACTTTTATCCCCCCCCCCTTTTTTTTTTTGCAAATTTTTAAGAGGTCTTCTTTTCCCTGTTGGAATCAGACATTTAGAAATCCTTAGTAGTGATTTCCCCTGCTCCCCATAAAAATAATATTTTTTAAATTAAAACAAAATAATGCTTATAACAAAAGGAAGAAGTGAGGTAGCAGCTCCATGGTGAAGTAGAATGAAGATGAAAGGAGGGCCAGCTTACTTATGTGCTAATGAGACTGATGCAGGAGAAAGAGCTAATTGAGAACACAGGAGAAAGGAAAAGAATTTCTGGAGTGAGATCCTTGAAAAGGCAAGGGGGGGTTACAATTGGCCTCAACTAGATTGGTCTCAACTAGGAGCACAGACCTTTATGTCTGCTAATAGGAAAGAAAAACATATATGTGGTGATAAAAACATGGTAGGAAGGTGAGTAGTTGTAGGAGGAGCTTGCAGAAAGTCTCTTATGGCTGCTAATCCTTGATGAAATAGGAAGTAAGGTCTTCAACTAAGGATGGAGATGGTGGTATAGGTGGTAGAGAACTTGAGAGAGAAGGGAAAATCTGAAGCAGCCATCTACAAGAAAAGGTGAATGAATAGACAAGGGAAATGAAGTATGATTGCCAGGCAAGGTCAAGGGCCCATTCTTCCCTCTCTGCCCACCACAGCAATAAACACATAACAAAAATCAAACAATTTAGAAATTAATCATGTGTTCAATTTTGTACTTGATAGTTATAGCTTCTCTCTATTTTTGTGTGTTTACTGTCTCTTAAACAAGATAGCAAGCTCCTTAAAGTCGCAGATCATGTCTTGTATTTCTTTGTTTCCCTACGGTGCCTACCAAAGGAACTGGGAAGACAGCAGAGTTTCATGAATACTCACTGCATTCAATTAGAACCATGATGCTACCTCTCTAGAATCAGAAACTGACCTGGTATGGCAGAGCTCACAAGCTTGACACAGAAAGAGGATGTGGGTCAGGGTGGTTGATTTAGAACTTCTTGGACTTCTTAGCTTGGAGATTTTGACTTGGGAGTTGTGGTTAGAAGGGCACCAATGGAGATACAAATATCTACACTGGAGAGTTGTCTGTTCTGTGCAGACTTTAGACTATCGAGGACATAGAAGACTTCGTTGTGCTCATTATAATGTCTCCAGGCAGGCGTGATGAAACCTTATCTGGCCCATGGCAAGTAGAGTAAAATTTTTATCTGTAGCGTTTAGATGAGTTAACTGATATTTATTCTTAATCCATTTGCTTGCTCATTTTTCAAGAACATTTGGATATTTGTTTCCTACCTCTATGTTTTCAATTTATAGAAACTTCAATTTCAAATGAGAACATTTGATTCAGCTTTTAGTACTAAGCTTTTTTTTTTTGCCAGCTAAGAGGTTGGAGGCAACTTGAGATTTTAGTGTTTTGTTATTGCTTCTTTAAACCATGATGACTATAACAGGTC